GCGTTGTACTAGCTACCGGCTTGTGAGGCGGTCGGTCTGGACTCGTTGGGAAGGGTGCAAGTCACTCCGCCGGGCCGTATGAGAAGAGGAAGAAGAAAGATTGTTTCGGGCAGTGATACCAAGAATAGGACGGAGTGTGGGAGGAGATTTATGGGCCTTAAGAACACAATAGGGATACGGCAATGTGTCAGCATGAGGATAATTCCAATGATTGTTCCAAACTGCATGGCTATTCAGAATGTCAGCCACTGATTCAGCAGGCCGAGAATACGTAGGACTGTCAAGGTGACTTGACAGTTTAAATCGGTACCAATTTTTACAGCAAATAGCCAAATTATGTGATGTTTTGTCCACAGGAACAATCGCAAAGGATTCTTGAAGCTGACTCAGGGCCGTATGCACGTGCCGCAAAGAGCGAGGCTGTCACAATGGTAACGCGGCAGCCATATTGCACTCACAGTGACGCAAAACTGCAGCATGCCAAAGAGCCAATTGCGGGGCTAGGGTAGCAGCACAGGATTGTCGTGCTGTCGGACGAAGATACGCAGCAATACACTCATCAATACCAACAGCCAATGCTTCAAGTATATCCCCCACTACCCCATTCAGCCGATATTTTGAGCCCTCATAGAACAGGCGACGAAGGTTAGCATCCGGAATCAGATCATAGTTGGCGGAAACAACATGGCCGTCAACCAGATCGGTGCAGTTAGGAAACGCCCGACGACAAGGACAATCAGCAGCAGCAGGTAGGCACAGGTCCGGAGTGACACTCAAGGCAACTTCCGCAAAATTACAAAATTGCACCCTTGTTGGGGGCACGAGTTTGTCACAGATGCGAATACTGCTAGCTGCCTGGGGGTCGGGGTGTAATGCACACACATCCGGAGAATGCAACACATGGCGCAACTTAGTGGCCTTCAGGATCTCATGCATATGCACAATCCTGATAAAGTTTCCAAAGGTGTCACGGGAATGAGCAGTATATCGTTGTCGGACGTGTTGAAATCGGCGAATAAGGCATTCAAGTTCACGGACGTCCGCAGTCATGTCTGCATTAGAAACATTTATATACAGCCATTGCAGCAGGCGAGCTCGCCATATATATATACATATGAAACCAAAAACGATAAAGCAGAACAAAGATCTCAAAGAATGTCATTTAAAAGTCCGGCTAAAATGGACCTCTCGCTCCTCTTGCAGAGCTATACTGACGGATTTTGACCCAATTTAGAATTAGTACTTAGCTCTTGCTTTCGGTGTTGCTTTCATCCATTTATATCGTTCCTTCCCTATCTGCCAAGAAGCCTACTCTAAATCCCTACTAAACCCCTACTACTGACCCCCTACTACTAACCCCCTACTACTGACCCCGTACTACTAACCCCCTACTAACCCCCTATTAACCCTACTAACCCCCTACTAACCCCTTTTTATGATCACATGCTGCTCCCCGTCCTTTGCCACCTCGATTGACTGATCGACGCGTTCTGTTTGTTCAACAGGACAGGATAGCTGATCATCCCTTTTTTTTTGTTTTTTGCTCTCTTTTTTGTTTTTTGCTCTCTTTTTTGTGTTTTGCTCTCTTTTTTGTTTTTTGAGGAATGCGTGCGTGTTTGACCGATATACACGTATGTAAGAAACGATTTTTCATGCAATGCGTGTGAAGAGCAATTTGGCCATTGCTTACCTTCTTCTTTTCTTTTGTTTTTTGCTCTCTTTTCTGTTTTTTGCTCTCTTTTTTTTTCTGCGTTGTTTTTTTTTCTGATTTGTTTTGTTTTTTCCCTCTTTGTTTTCCTTTTGTTCCTTTTTTTTCCCCCTTCAAGTCCAGGTTCTTGTAGAGGTCGGATACCAGAGACGTATGACTTATCCTTTTCTTTTCTGCTAAGATTCTTTTGTTCTGCCTATTCACTTATTCACTCATACCGTCTTCCCCCGAATAGAACGCCCGGTCATTATAGCTTTATTTGGTGCAACTTCCTCTCCAGATACAGTGATAATGACCGGGCGTTCTATTCGGGGGAAGACGGTAGTAGATATCTGTCTCACAGCACATGTATAGAAAGGCACGAGGGGGCACAGAGAGAGAGAGAGAGAGAGAGAGAGAGAGAGAACGGAAACGGAGAAGGAGAGAGGAAAAGTGGTGACCTGGTTCGATGCCAACACCTATCCCTCTTACTTCTGTCGGATTTCTTACTCCTACTCCTACACCTGCAAATCTGTCATCGTCCATCACCCTCATCATCCTACTACACCTGCTAAGCTCTCTTCATCCTATCATCACCCTCATCATCACCCTCATCATCACCCTCATCATCAGCCTCGTAATCAGCCTCATCATCAGCCTCATCATCAGCCTCATCATCCTATTGATAGCGCTTCTTCCTCCTCCTCCTCCTCCTCCTCCTCCTCCTCCTCCTCAGTTCTCGCTCTCACCAACCAGCTCCCGGAAATATTTTGATTACTGGACAGATGGGCGTTATTTCCTTCCCCTATGTACACGAAAACGTCATTTATACATCATCATCATCATCATCATCATCACCACCATCATCAAGTTGTACATGAACACGTGTATGTGTCCACGAAGCCATGAGTAATACTGAATACTCAGTAAGTTATACACCACTTCAAATTTATTTTGCAGACAAGGTTCGTCAACTTCACAATCATCACCATCACCATCATCATCATCATCATTGTGACCATCATTCTTTGCCAACCACAAATTTTGAAAACTTTCCACCCATCTTCATCATCATCATCATCATCATCATCATCATCATCATTATCATCACACCATAGTATCCGTCCTCCCCCGAACACAAAGCACCCTAATCATCATGTTCAGATCTTCGGTCGTTTCCATAGTCGGAAAACGAAATCGAGTGCGATCGCTCGATGGCATACCTTCTTCCCCCGAACACAACGCACCCTCATCACGACTGTATACAGGCAATCTTTATGGCTGTATACAGGCAATCTTTATGACTGTATACAGCCAATCTTTATGACTGTATACAGGCAACAATCTTTACCTTCAGTACCGTACAGTCATGATGAGGGTGCGCGTTGTGTTCGCGTGAAGACGGAAGTGCCGAGTTCAAGTCCATGTCACACTAGTGCTCCCATGCGCCCCCATCCTTTCCCATCACTTCTAAAGCAARAAAAARAAWAARAARAAAAAAAAMGGAARAARAARAARTMCCCCYCCCCCCCCCCCCCCCMAAAAAAAAAAAAGCATGAGGAAAATAAGAATAGTGAAAAACAGTGGCCATAGACTGCTTCTTGCACACGCATTGACAATATACTTGTATTTCAATACTTCTCCGCCCGCCTGTGCAGTTCTGACTTTTCTCAGTTGAAAACGCGCAAATCAAATTCCCCGACGCTTTTTTTTTGGCTAATCAGGCTGCTGCGCACCTGGCACTCACTCCGCAGGGGTCTTCTCCCCATATCCGCCTTCCTTGCGGGACCACCACCAGACTTTACGACCAGTCTGAGAAAATGTGAGAGACGGCCTTGCCCTCTAGATATACTGATAAATATAAACCAAGTGGGCAAAAAAACACCTGCTCATCGTACATGCTTCACAAGGTAGGTGCGTTGCTCCTGAATACCGTGCGTGCTTGCTTCAAAAGGTAGGTGCGTTTCTTCTGAGAGTGTAGTGCATGCTGCACAAGACGGACGTGACAATGTGACAACATAGTCTGAGACAGCAATCAAGAGGAAACGCGCACATTGCCCGACGCGATCTGGCCAGGTAACGTACCTGGCACACCTCCGTGACCAGGGGGGAAGGAGAGGAGTCGGAACTACAGTAATACTGGAAGAGAAGGCAAAGGAGGAACAGCAAGATGACGGCTATGGAAGGGGGCGAGAAGCAGAGGAGGAGTCCGGGAAAGCAGAGGCTAAGAGGAGGGAGAAAGAGAAGATGGAGTTCCAGAAGAAAAAAAAAAAGAGAAGATGGAGTAGAAGAAGGAGAGGAGGAGAGGAGGAGAGGAGGAGAGGGGGAGAGGGAGGAGAGGAGGAGGGGGATGGGACAAGGCTTCACCTTGGCACGACGAGCCCGCCGATGCCGTGCCGTTCGCGCAGGTACGGGAACGACTGATCTCGACAAACGCCCAGGGATACTTGACATGCGACGCGTGGACGTGTCGCGCCCACTCCAATTATCAGCGATGATAGATGGGGGGGTTTTTTTTTTTTTTTTTTGGGCGATAATATAGAAGTAGGCAGGCCCACGTACAGTGACACGTGTGCTATGCCACGTGGACGTGTTCCGCCCACTTCAATTCGAGTCCGTCCTTTCCCGTCGGGACCACGTGGTCTAGACCAGACCAGGTACTGATCCCGCGGGCAAACAGCACAAGAACGGCGCCCGCAGGCAAACAGCACAAGAACGGCGGTAGCAAAAAGAAGTCCCAAGAGCAAAAAAAAAAAAAAAGGAAAAAAAAGGAGAAAAAAAAAAAAAAAAGTCCAAAGAGCGGCCTGGATCTCTCTTTTTCGGGGGTCTGTTTTTGTCGTTGTGCCCCTCAAAGACGCGTTTGATTGCTTTCTGCCCCTCAACGCAGCCAACTTCCACTGGCATGCCCCTCCCACCTGGAAATCTTTTTCAGCAGGGCCCCCCCTGTCTGAGGGCCCGGCGACTTCACCGTCCCCGGGGCCTACCAGCTTCCCCCGAACACAACGCACCCTCATCTTGGCTGTACCGGACCGGGAATATAGCTTGCATACGTTCAATTTCAGGCTGCGTTATGTTCGGGGGAAGACGGTATGGTCATGGGGAGGAAGCCATCAGCCATCAGTTGACGCCTCGAAGGGAGATTTGGGTCCCAAAGGAATGTTACTTTTTGGAACCCCACTTATACTTATGGCCACCCTTATGGCCACCCCCTCCAGTGGAGCCAGAAAACTGCACATAAACATGGCCTGTGGTGATAAATGACGCACTGGAAGCCCATAACTTTGTGGTGATCAATGACGAAGTGGAACCCCATAACTTGTATCTATTCGTGATCAGGGTGCATCGTGTGTGATCTGGTTTCTCCAAAATGACCACTACCGGTACTGTCTTCACCCAAATAGAACACCCGGTCATTATGGCTGCATCTGGTCTGACGGTTCGCCCAAATACAGCTACGACGACCGGGCGTTCTATTGGGGTGAAGATAGTAGTAGTAGGCATGTGCCACTGGTGGCTGGACCCCATACACAACACATGGAGCATTTTCAAAGAGAGGAAAAGGGTTGAGTGGTGGCTAGACCATATACAGATGGTGGCTGGTTCATATGGGGGAAACCCCGCTTAAAGAGGTGATAAGAGCAGCCCCGTTAATTGGGTCCCGATGTTGAAGGCTCCATCTATTGGTGGGGAGCTACACCTGCTGGTAATGGGGTCCAGCATCCCTGTACAATAACATGGTACGCCGGTTAACACCGGCATTAGTGGATCCGTGCCTGCCTGTGAATGTGTTCCCAGCCAAGCAGAGGACAATGGAAGGGTCTCAAGTACGGATGGTACCCCCCAAAGTTCCGGCCGCGATGCGCTCGGATGAACGGGCCTGGAGTGGAGCGCCCAGATTCATCCAAGTCGATCATCCGAGTCGCGCTCGGATGAACGGGCCTGGAGTGGAGCGCCCAGATTCATCCAAGTCGATCATCCGAGTCGAAACGATTCTACTCTGTTTTTCTCCCATCGCCTACATATGACTGAGGTACTGGTGGTTTGATTGAGCCCTTTTTATATATACTGTACAATTTCTTTATATGATTTCCCTGACTACATCAGCTGGTCTATGATGTAGCTCAGTGGTTAAAGCACCGGTTGGAAATATGTATTGTGGTATAAGATTGCGGGTTCAACACCGCACAGCCTCGTTTGAGCCCCTTTTTTATATACTGCACAATTCTTTATATGTTTGCCCTCATTACATCAGCTGATCTATGATGTAGCTCAGTGGTTAGAGCACCGGTTGGAAATGCGCATTGTGGTATAAGGTTGCGGGTTCAAAGCCCCACAGCCTCACGCATGGACACCGACAGGGCGTTAGATTGATGGACGACTGGACACACATCCCCTCGGGCTGACACATGGTACTATTACAGACTGCCTGCGCAACACCCAAGGGTAGTCCACGGTGTTGTATGTTGGCTGTGGATTTCACAGGGTTTGCTTGGGGTGTTGGTCTCGGGTGTTCTGATGTGTTCTCCCCAGTCTGGCATACCACACGATCATTCCATATCCGGTAGTTTCTCATATGGTAGAGTCTTGGATTACATTTTACAAGGTAGTTTCTCATATGGTAGAGTCTTGGATTACATGTTACAAGGTAGTTTCTCATATGGTAGAGTCTTGGATTACATGTTACACGGTCACGGGTTCAAGCTTGGTTCGATCCTTGGGGGGGGTCCTTGTCCAGCTGGCCCGTTCTCTCTTCTATACATGATTCACAGAGTACACATAGCTTTCGGGCATACACACATAGCTTGCAAATTATATATCGCTTACAGGTTACATACACAAGGTTCCACACATGATACTGTCTACACAGATTCACAGAATATATACACACAAAAACAGGCTGGGGAGCTAGTCACTGGTGGGGTCTAGTGCCTGCAGTAGGTTCAGGTAGGTTGGATAGGGTGCCATTGGGTGCAGTTCCTACTGACATTCGGATAGAACTGTCTGGTGGCTATATGTATATGGGGCCTGTAGTTCATTGTCTGGGCCTGGCGTCCGAAGTTCCCGTTCGACAAGGTTCGTCCGATTCCGCTTCCACCAGGGCTGGGCAATCTATCAGCCCTGGTGCCTATCACCGCTGTTTGGTCCAAGTTGCCTGCCTGTTGGTAGGGCAATGGTCCTGAGTGTTGGTCACACTGAGGTAGAATAGTGGGATAGGGGGTGCGCTAGGAGTATTGACATGAGGATGGGTTGGGAGGTGGTCTCATATTCCAGGACACCCACGGCTCACAGTTCCAGGTGATCACTGTGCACACACTGACTGGCCTCTACAACACCTGGACTTCAAAAAAAAAAAAAAAAAACATCAGCTGATCTATGCTGTTCCCTTTCGAAGGAGCATCTGGCTCGCCATAAAGTCATCAGCACAGTAAGCCTAAATTTTCTTTCTCTCCACAGTAGCCGTACCATGCATTCTCCACCAGGTATCTGTGGCCAGATCACCATTCCTCAGTGGCCGTACTACCATGCATTCTTCACCAGGGCCAGAGTGTGCGGTGGGACCTTTTGCGAGACTACTATAGAGGTGGCCCCCATATTCAGCCTCACTCTAGAAGGGTATGCGTTTTATGCCACCCGCTCAGTCCGGAAACAGCCCGCACCGGGACTCCCTATCAGAAATTGGGGAGAACCTGCCCTTCTTTTTTCCCCAATTATGTTCTTTTCGCATTGGACCTGCTCGAAACTCTGCTGCTAGCAAATATACAATCCACTGCGGCGAGCTGCAAAATTCACTGAACTGCAGACAGATTTGGCAGTTGCCTTAGTACACAAATCCGTGCGGATGGGCAATGTAATTAAACAATGCATAAATTTAGAATTTATAAGTATGACAAGGATTCCATCCAGGTTGCTCTGTTGATCGGGCACGTACCTGGCCCACAATTATATTGTCATTGATTTTTTTTTATTATTTTTTTTTTTTTTCTTAATGGGGACAAGGCAGCAACTGTCCTACTCGAGCCCTTCTAGTTGGTACCTACTCTACAGGTCAAGATGCAACCATCACTTCAAGCATTTGTCAAGATACTTTTCCTTTGGTCACTTCAGCTTAACTGTCTCAGGAGGCCTCGTCACCGACGATCTTCAGTTTCAACAGATGGCACTATTTTCTAAGATTTCAACTTCTTGTTCTCCTAAAAATCAACTGTCTCCCGGAGGCCCTCTCATCGTTGATCTTCAGTTCCAACAGTATGGCACTATTTTCCTAATTTTAAATCTTATTTTCAGAATCTACGGATGGGTGAGTGTTGAGGCCAAGATCTACGAAAGGACTCAGTGGAACTTACCCTGCGGGAAGAAGACCCTCTAAGGACCGACCGCCACTGGACCCTGGAGCAGGTAGAGTATAAGTAACCGGCACGTGACCGGTCGCTGCAGGCTGACTCGACTCGCGCGGAGCGGCTTCGGGATTTCGTCCGCCGGCAGCTACGCCCATCGCATAAGCAAACCTGCGGTCACAGCACAGCCACTAAGTCTGCTCAGAGGCCGAGTTGTTTTTCTCGCCAAGATCTTGGCGAAGCGGTCCCGCCCACCCTCGATTTTATGACTCACTTCTGAGCATTCGGCCTTCATCAAGGACTTCGTTTTTTTCCATTTTATCTCGACAAGACCTAGGCAGCAAGGTTCCAATCTATTTGTGGGGAGCATTCTGGTTTCAACCTAACTGTATTTTTCATATGGCAAGATATTGGGCGAAGGTTAAAGCCCCAGTAAAAAAAAAAAACGCATCAGATGAAGGTGCCACCAATTGGAGAGGAGAAGTGAGAGTACTGTGGGCGGACCGCAGGAGAGCGTTGCGGAGTGGCTTAGCGCGAGAGCCCGATGCTGCTTGGTTGAGGCGAGGTGGTGACATTGCGGGTTGGGTCCGGCGGCGGGCGCCGCCACGGTTGTGTCACGATGCTCACCTGGTCTCATCCGCCTCTGCCGCTCCTGGCCGTTGGGTTAGGCGTGGTTATGTTGGCGTGCTAAGTTGAGAGTGCGTTGGTGTGTGGGTGTGGTGTGTCTGCGGGAGGATGCTCTTAAACCGGGTATGAAGCTTGACCAGCGTGCTGAAGCACGTTTGATCTTAGGTATGAAGACTTTGACTGTGAAGATGTTGAGGATGCGGCTTTAGGCGCGGACTTGTTGGGATGTCGTTTTAGGCGCTGATAAGTCGTGGGAGTTGGAGGAGCATAAAGAGGATTGCGCTAGTGAAGTTCTGTTGAAGATCTTCTGGTCGGAGATGTTTTCGTTTGAAATTGAAGATCGAAGATCCTCTTGAGAAGAATACAGAGTGTTTGGCATGCATCGTTTGAGGACTAGGTGTGGTTCTATTGTTTGTTTAATAGATGAATTTTAGGGTTATCTGTAAAATGCCTCTTCCGTTGAGTTTC